GAGCTTTGGAATATATTGTAGGCAACAATGAGGAAAAGATAGTGGTTTGGCTCTTGCTTGAATGTGAGCGGGCTTTCAGGAAGAAAACACAAGGTTCGGTCAGCTGGAGTGGATTGGGTGTGTTGATTTCAACTATTCTGTTCGCTGGAACGGCTGGTTCTTTCCAAATTGCGAGAGGGATACTTTTGAGGGTTATTTTGGAAACTCTTACCATGATTCTTGAGACCTGGTTATTTTCGTTAATGCTCTGCAAGACAGCGTCATTCTTCTGCATATACTGAGACTGTTGATTTGCCACTAGGCTATTGCTTCCTCCTATCCTGCTTTCTAATCCTGTGTGGATTCTGAATATTTTGCATATTGATGTATGAAAAGTTACGATGATTTGTTCAATCCTAATCATATGTCTGAGAGTAAGGATTATTTTTCTGGTGTCGGAAGTTTTAAGGACAAACAGCTTGCTCAGTTGGGTGTTTGATCAGTGGTGACCAATGGAAATTTAGATTTCACATGTCATGCCCCGCAGGCATCAAAAATTAGAAGAGGGGCTTGTACCATGTTAACTGGTTGAGCAGTACATAATCCATCCAACTTCTTTGTCAATGAATCATTTTTTTGCAATAGGAAGAGTATCTACCTTCTTCGGAGCTCCTGTCTGGCCACATAACACCATGTTCACTCGTTATTTCAAACAATTCACATGCTTCTTTGATAGTCTTCTTTTTTATTGTAGATCAGCAGGATTGAAGCAAACCGGAATAGAAGTAATGAATTTGTAGGCGCTTTATTATTTAATGATTCAGGCACTTTCTGAGCAGTTCATTGGTAGGGGATAATGAATATCGAATCCCCCTTGCTAATCCATTTTTAGTACAATAAATTAAAGTGACAATTTGTAATCAATCTTGTTGGTTAGTGTTTTCAATTTAATTGAAAATATATCTCGATAGTTATCAAATATATTCCCCTCACGTGACATTCTTATCTCTCGATGAAAAATACAAGCATTATAAATGCATAAACGATTTAGAACACCTATGAAAATCATGTAAAGCATAGATATATATCTATATTCCCTATCGAACTTTACAATGCTTATTATTTTTAACTAAAAACCTATTATTTATCTCGATAATAATAGATTCCAATAAATCATCTCAATTAGTGGCTAATTAATTGAAAAGTAGGTGAAAGCAATAATAAACATATAAGAAAATATACATACTAGTCGTCAAAAATGATTAATTAATATTAAAAATTTCAAAATAAGACATATCGAAATTATAAGAAATCATATTTGATAAAATGAGAAGAGGAAGACAAATCTTGAAATTTTGAATATCTTCAATGATTTCTTGATGAATCTCCACTTGCGCATTCTCTTCTTTACCCAAAAATTAAGTTTGAATTTTCACTTGATTGAATTCTTGCAAATCACATTTAATTCTCTCACAAAACTATGAATTTTCCTCATTTAATAATAATAATTGATGAATATTGGAGTATAATATGCATATGAGAAGTCTTCAATATGTATTCTACTGTTAAGTATTTGTAGGAGTAGAAAATTGGTTGAAAATCTCATTCAAATTGGTTTTCAAAAGAGTTCTAATCGAATAAACAAAATTCCATTCACGCACAGATTTTTTGTTTTTGCACAGCAGTTAGTTTTTTGGTCATCACTTTCTTTCCTAATATCTGATTAAGGGGATTCAAAGTGCGTTGGAAAGTTAGCTCAAAGGGATAAGAATTTTTCAAATTCGAACATTTACTATGACAAAAATGGATCTCAATATTTAGCTAAAATCTAGAATATAACTTGTGCGATTAAAAATTGATTTTGATAATATTTTGATCGTATTCCATTCATTTTTGAGTTATAATTCCATCTAATTGTCTCCTAACAATCTTTGAAGTATCGTCTTGTGATCCGAATCAACTATTAATTTTTTTCAATTTGATCCTCAGACTTTGAATTTTGTCATTTTTCACTAATTTTCGCTTATTTCTTTTGATTCCTCGTTCAACCGTTGAGTTTTACCTATATAATATAAAATATAAAAAATTTGGATATATTTTGTTAGAAAAACTATCAAATATCGCTATTTTAGACATCAAATAAGTGTATAAAATACACTTATCACAACTACTCCCAAGCTTTCTCTATCACCTAGAGCTCAAGTCATCGCCATCTCCTCATCCCCCAGTGGCGTAACCATCTTGGTCATATCCTTCAATCACGATTACTAGATTTCTTGTTATTATGTTTTTTTGTCGTTATCATTAAATTTATTTCAAACTCTAATTACTAGTTGTGCCTTTTGTAATAAGAGTCATTGTCTACCTTTTGGCATCTGATATGAGTATGGTTTTCTTGACATACTATACACAGATGTCTACGGACCTAGTCTTGTAACCTTATTTGAATCTTATTACGTATTTTTTTCGATCTTACTTGAAAGTACTAAATCTAGTTAATTAAACAACATGTACCATTTTTTTAATTTTAGACAATCAGTCAGAATGTCCTATAAACATATTAAAGCGCAGTTGTGACTGGAATGAATTAACGGAATAAAGTCCTACAAGTTATAGTTTATTTCGGAATTAAATAGTGATGAACATAAGATATAACATGGTAAATCTCTAAAGGAAACATTCATGGGACCACATGTCACGGATAAAATAATTCATTATCAAAGAAACAAAAATACAATAGTTTCGGTTTAGTAATTTTGTAAAATTAACTAAAACAACTAAAAACAAATGAAGAAAAACTCCCATCATTTTCTTATTCCTTCGAACTTGTTGGATGAGTGGAATCAAACCCTCTGATCTTAACTTTATCGCCACTTCACTATTGTATCGGTCACAACTAGTGTTTGGATTAAGATTCAACAATCTTAACTCACACAAGTAGCCTGATCTTTGAGTATGATTATATATCAATCACGCACAAGTATGTTCTCTTCAATTACGGTTGAATGGAAAGTAAAATAACATCTCATGAAAACCTAAAATGCGCAGTCAAGGAATCCGTTTACCTGTGGGACCCAATTAGTCTAAACTAATTGTCTTACCTATTTGGACTTCATCAATTGAACACGTTTTGCACATTTTTTGTCCTTCAAAAATCATTCTAATTTAAAGCAACCCAATAAATAATTAATAGATAAAATATAAGGAATATTTTACTTATAATCTCTCCTTTTGACTTGGCTTAATTTTTAAAACTTCTTTTAGATTTTTTATTTCACTTTTGTGAGTACGTAGTGATTACAAAGTGCATTACGTGGACAACTCCCCCTTACATAAACAACTCATGCGAATATGCAGCAATAGTATAGGGATACACTAAACTGAAGAACATACTGCGTCAAATTGCAACAGTGGCAAAAGTGTTTAAAAAAATTACGAATTACCCTTACTACTCCCCCTTTTTCGAAATTAAGATAGCTCTTTTTTTTTTTGATAATCGTGGATGTCCAGGCCAGTTTGCGCGCACCTCGACTAATCCCACGAGGCCCTGAAGTTTACGGCCAGATACTCACCTCAGTGGCCCTGAGGTGACTTGAACTGGTGACCATTGGGGAGCAATTTTTTTTTTTGATAACCGGGGATGTGCGGGTCAGCTTGCGCGCACCTCGACTAATTGCAGGGGGCCCTGAAGTTTACGGTCGGGTACTCACCTCAGTGGCCTTGAGGGGATTCGAACTAGTGACCATTGGGGAGCAAACCCAAGGCCTGACCAATTAAGCAACCCCTCAAGGTTAAGATAGCTCACTATAAAGGCGGTGAAGTAAGCTAAACATCCAACGAGAGTATATGTCAAATAGTTAGTTTAAGTACTACAACCCATCAAATAGATAGAGCAAATAGTTCATAAGTTTGAGAGGTGGAGCCAGCCATCACTACTTCTTGGTACGCTTAGTCCCAGATGATTTTCCTTCACCACCACACTTGTGGGATGGAGCAGGGTATGCACACTGAGTATCACCAGGATGACTTGAGGGAGGTATCTCAGAGCTCTGCTATTCTGGTTCGTCATGAGCAAAACTAGGAGCGCAGGTGGCTGAGTGCTAACTTCTGTAGGCTTGCTAGGTCCATGATAAAGACAACCATGGACAAACCCTGGGAATCCTGGAGTGTTTTTGACCCAGGCTATTTTAATCTGTGTATTACCAAGATAGGCCAGGGACTCCACTAACCTGTGCACAAGCATAAGCTCATCAGAAAATTTCTGGTTATTGAGTAAGAGTTTTCTAACCTGATTTTTCACCATGCCTAGCTGATTCTCTAGGACTTCGAGTCGGTCAAAGACGTCATGGGAAGGAGTATTCCTGGATACCCTAAGGGTAGGAACTAGGGGCCATCCCTATTACCAAACTCAATCACTCCAAGACTTGGAATCGGTGTAGAAAATCGATCGGGTGACAGGAAAGGGTTCCCCGATAAGAAAGGAAATGATAAATCAGACTAGGATATGGGAGTTTATATTGTTTGGTCCTTCATAGATGATCATGTCAAAAATCAACTTGATGAAGTCTAAATTCACTTTTGTTCCCAATTTAAACAATAGAACAACCAACTCATGAGAAAGATCAGAACAATGCGTGAGAGGATCCAAGTTGTAAAGCAAGATCTTGAAAAAAATCATGTATTTCTGGGTTAATCTAGAGGTCGGAAAGTTATCAACATGTTGAGGTATGTTCCTTTCTGTTAATTCCATTACCACAACATCAGTGGTTAGCTCGTCATCATTCAATTCAAGTACTTCATCAATCCCTAACCAATTTATCAAGACGGATGGACTGAACGTCACCAACCTTCCTCGAATATATGTCTTCCATCAAAATGGATTTCTTGTTTGAGCAATGTTCTTCGGAATGTTGAAGTAGAACTCCCTCACAATAGTCTCATTTAACCTTCCATCAAACGTCATAATTTTTTCAATTTATGAAACAAAACAATTTCATCCAATCCTACCAACACAAAATCCTCCAAATTTACCTTGAACTTCTCAATGAAAGTTCAATGAGTAGTAAAGGATATTTACAAAGTTTCTAGTAGTTAAAAGGGTTAATAGAGTGCCTAACTAGCGAGAAAGTGTCAAACCTGAACAATTTAGGCTCAGATGTAGGTGTTTCCACTACTCTGTAGGCACCACCACCTGGGGTAAGAGGTGCAAACCTATTGGTAGGAGTGTATAGTGTTGTCCCTTCTCCAATCTTCTGTTTTCCATTTTCTACCCTGGTAGGTGGCAGCGTCGACTTAGAGAAAGTGTCAAACCCTTTAGTGGTTCAAATCGTAAATTAAATGTTTTGGAGTTCTAAAGAAATTGGAGAAAGAAGGAACTTTTATTCATACTGATTTCATAAGTATCACAAGTATATATAAAGAGATACCTCCACACATAATTCTAGCATATATCACGTAATTAGCCTAGGATTATAGATGTACAGTCATCAGTTCCTAATTCTAAGTTTATACAGGGATTATCTCCACTAATTTAGGATGGCATCTCCACTAATTTAGGATGCCATATATACACAGAATATTCTTCTATGCTCCAATACTCCCCCTCAAGCTGGATCCAAAAGATTTATGGATCCAAGCTTGCTCAAAAGCCTGTGGAACTGAGTAGACGGCAAAACTTTGGTGAACACATCAGCCAGTTGGTCATTAGAACGCACATATAGAGTGTTAACTAATTTAGATTGAACCTGTTGACGAATGTAGTGACAGTCCACTTCAATGTGTTTGGTTCTTTCATGGAACACGGGATTAGAAGCAATGTGCATTGCAGCCTGATTATCATAAAAATGTTTCATATGAGTGGTGCTTGGACAACCTACATCAATAAGAAGACTATGAAGCCATACGAGCTCACATGCTGCGGAAGCCATCGCGCGATACTCAGCTTCAGCGCTAGATCGGGAGACCACATGTTGTTTTTTACTTTTCCAAGACACCAGATTACCGCCAACAAACATACAATAACCAGTAGTAGAACGACGATCAAATGCATTACCAGCCCAATCAGAATCAGTATATCCCATAATATTAGTGTGACCATTACGGGTCATGACTATTCCACGACCAATTGTGCCCTTCAGATATCGCAGGATGCGTTTTTCCATACCTAGATGTTGAAAGGTTGGAGTGTGCATATGTTGACTAACAAGACTAACTGCAAACGTAATATCTGGTCGTGTAATAGTCAAGTAGATGAGCTTTCCCACAAGCTTCTGATAATAATTAGGTGAGTCAAGGGCTTTTCCTGTACCGGTCGCGTGATAGTCAAGTAGATGAGCTTTCCCACAAGCGTCAGATAATAACTAGGTGAGTCAAGTGCTTTTCCTGTAGAAGCAAGCCTCAATTTGCTATCGAGTGGAGTAGCAGCGGGTTTGGTGTGTAACATCTCAGCATCTTGAAGCAAATCTACAATGTATTTACGCTGGTTAAGGAATAGCCCTTTGCTAGAAGCTACCATTTCAATCCCAAGAAAGTAATTCAAGGAACCAAGATCCTTGATTGGAAATTGGTGCTGAAGTTTCGTTTTCAACTGAGCAATAGAATCAGTATTATTCCCGGTAATAATGAGATCATCCACGTATATTAATACCACAAGTTTGTCAACTGAACCAAGCTGAACATAGAGAGATGAATCAGCTGAGCTTCTGCTAAAACCGAGAGCTTCAAGAGCAGTGCTCAACTTGGCATGCCATGCACGAGGACTTTGTTTCAAACCATAATTTGATTTATGGAGTCGACAGACCAAATTGGGGTTTTCACTTTGAAGATGCCCAGGAGGAAGCTTCATAAACACTTATTCCTCAAGATCACCATGCAAGAATGCATTTTTTACGTCCATCTGAAATAAAGACCACCCGTTATTGATAGCCACAGATAAAAGAACTCACACCGTTGTCATCTTGGCAACGTTCTCCTTGTAATCAACACCAAACTTCTGAGTGAAGCCTTGAGCAACAAGGCGTGCTTTATGCCTATCAAGAGAACCATCAGAGTTAAATTTCGTTTTAAACACCCAAAGACTACCAACTGCATATTTGCCCGGGGGAAGAGGCACTATAGTCCAAGTTTTGTTGTCGGCAAGAGCAGTTAATTCTTCATGCATAGCTTTCTGCCAAACAGCCTGGGATTTGGCTTCTTGAAAATTCTTTGGCTCAGGAACATTTGATATAGCTGTAAGGAAGGCTGTATGCAAAGGTGATAGTCATTGATATGACAAAAAATTAGTGACAGGGTACCTGACTGTATGAGCAACATAATCTGCCAATTTTGTTGGAGGGTGACGTGTCCGTGGAGGATTACGTCTGGAAGATATTGGTTCACCTTGTGCATGGGAAAATTCTTGCTCGGGTGATTCGATAATAGCTTTATTGGAAGGAGCACCAGTGATATCCAATTGATCACCACAGTATTCAATGGTATCTCGAGCTGAGATAGCTTGGCTAGGAGGTAAATCTTGAGTGAATTGATGACCAGAATCAATGCTAGGCAAGGGAAATAACTCAGACAGCTTCTCCCCCTAACTAGAGGCGACAAAATATGGAATTTGTTCAACAAAGCGGACATCTCCAGTCACATATAATTTCTTGGAGAGAGAGTCATAACATTTGTACCCCTTTTGTGTTTGAGAATAACCAAGGAATATGCACTTAACAGCTCGAGGATCAAGCTTGTCACGGTGAGTAGTTGAGACATGCACAAAACAAGTGCATCCAAAAATTATGAGGTGAGCCAAATCAGGTGCTTTGTCCTGCAATACTTCAAGAGGACATTTAAATCCAGCACTTAAACAAGTGCATCCAAAAATTTTGAGGTGAGACAAATCAGGTGCTTTGTCCTGCAATACTTCAAGAGGACATTTAAATCCAGCACTTGGTTGGGTAAACGATTCACAAGATAAGTTGCAGTAAGGATACCATAAGACCAAAAATGTTTTGGGACATTCATCTAAAGCATTATGGCTCGGGTTTTCTCAAGCAAATCACGATTTTTACGTTCGATAATCCCATTTTGTTGAGGTGTACTAACACAACTAGACTAATGCAATATGCCATTAGAAATCAGATAGTTTGTCATGTCATGAGACATATATTCTGTGCCATTGTCAGATCGAAGAATTTTAATATGAGCTGAAAATTGGGTACTAACCAACATATGAAAATCTTTAAAAAACTCAAATACTTTTCTTTTTTATTTCAATAAGTACACCCAAGTAACTCTAGAGAAATCATCAATAAAGGTTACAAAATATTTAAATCCATCCAGAGAAGATGAAAAAGGTCCCCAAACATCTGAATGTACAATTTCAAATGGTTGAGTAGTACAAGATAAAGATGAATTAAAAAGGAAGCCTAGAAGACTTAGAAAAATGGCAGATATCACAATCAAGAGTTCCTTTTGATAGAACCCGATTTATTTTGCTAAGAACATAATTTGAAGGATGTACGAGACGACAATGCCATAAAAGATGCTCAGTAATTGGAGAAGAAACAGCCTGAAATCCCTTGGTAACCCGAGAATTAGGGGAAAAATAGTAGAGTCCATGCAAATGAAATCATTCACCAATCATCGCCTTGGTGACGAGGTCCTGAAAGATAACTTTGTAAGGAGTAAATATAACTTCACAATTGAGCAAAGATGTTAGTTTGCGAACAGAAAGCAACTGAAATGGAAAGGAAGGAACATACAGAACATCAGACTCTATAGTATCTGAAACAAGCTTAATTTTGCCCTTACCCTTTACAGGAACACCTTTCCCATTTGCTATAGAGACAAAGGAAGGGGTAGAAAAGGAATTAAAGTCGCAAAAATGGGTTAATTTATTTGACATATGATCCGTGTCACCAGAATCAATAACCCATACATCATGCAAACTATCAATCTCTAATGCAGTCAAAAAAGCAATCTGAATACCTTGGCTAGTGTCAGAATTTGCATCAGCTAAAAAACCAGCAAAATGACTAAGAAATGCAGCTGGTTGATCTTTTTCTTGATTAACAGCTCCTCCTTGGACTGCCCTCTGACCATGCATGTCTTGTAAATAATTTGCGAAATCATTAAGTAAAGCAGTAGGATTAGAAGAAAAGGATTCAGTGGAGTACGTAGCCAAATGAGCCTTATGATCAGGGATTCGTTTTTGGTATCCTCCGCCCTTTTGATCTTTGGAAAATTTGGGCTTCATTTCTGGGTGAAGAATCCAACAACGATCAATTGAGTGTCCAATATTATGGCAATGCTGACATTTAAGATCAGGACGTTTTCCCTTGTAAGATTTTTCTTCAGAGGGTGAGCGAACAATATAGGCACGAACATCAGGAGGACTGGGATTCACAGTACGTGGCATGACTTTTCGGCGTACTTCCTCAAGCTGAATGGTCTCGCAAACATTCTTGAAGGATGGTAGGTCGGTATTCATTAGAATATGGCTCCTTAGATCCTTAAAATCAGGACTAAGACTAGCCAATAGCTGAAAAATACGATCCTCTTCTATTCGCTTTCGCAAAATAACCACATCAACAGTAGGAGGTCTATAAATCTCCAACTCCATCCACAAACTCTTCAAGTTTCCCAGTAAACTTACGAATGGCTTCCCATCTTGATGAAGGCTTGCAATTTCCTTATGAATTTACAAAATCCTGGCAGAATTATTTTGGTTGCCATACATGTCACGGACAGCATTCCGTAGATCCAAAGAAGACTCTGAATAGCTGAAAAACTCAGCAAGATCACGCTCCATCGAGTTAAGAATCCACGACATAACATGTTGGTCTTTTGACAGCCACGCCTCATACTCCGGTGAACTGGGTTCAGGAGATTTGGCAGTGCCATTAATGAATCCCAACCTTGATCTACCACCAAGAGCAATGGTAATTGCCCTCGACCACGGAAGGTAATTGAATTCGTTCAACAAAACTGAACTCAATTTTTGAGAGATGTTGACATCACCATCAGCAATATTGGATGAAGAAGAGACCACCTCCTTCAAACCTCCAGCAGCAATAATATTATCTGCCATAATAAAGAAGATATGAGCAGGGTGCAAGGATCACCGCTCTGATACCATGAAGAAATTGGAGAAAGAAGGAACTTTTATTCATACTGATTTTATAAGTATCACAAGTATATATAGAGAGATACCTACACATAATTCTAGCATATATCATGTAATTAGCCTAGGATTATGGATGTACAGTCATCAGTTCCTAATTCTAAGTTTATACAGGAATTATCTCCACTAATTTAGGATGCCATATTTCTTCTATGCTCCAATAAGTTCCCTTCAATAGATGCAGTGGTTTGAACATTTTCAGACTCAGGTAATTTGTCCTTAGCCATTACTTTAGGACTTTCTTCATCGTTACCAGACCCTTGATAGCGATCTATCTCCTCCTCAATGTTCCTAACATCATCCGTACTGTTATCACTTCCTCAGAGGGTTCAAAGTGAGGCTCAAAGTAAGGCTCAGGTATCACATACTTCTTGCTAGTGTATGACACAGGTTCATTCTGATGGCGTATTCTGTGAGGATTGACCGGCGGTGTACTTTCTTCAGCATTGTATGACTCAGATGCCTCTCTCTGTGTAGTGGGTACAATGGCCATCTTCTTCTCTCGATCCAACTGGATGGGTTCAGATGAAACCGTTTGGGTGGGGATGCTTTAGCAGATGGTCCACCCTTGTCAAATTTCCCAACATTTCCTTTGGTTCTGGCCATTGACATCTGTAGAGAAATGCTCAAGCAAAGATCAAGTGAAATTGAGAAAGAAAGATTTGATACATTGGGCCCTACATAAAATTCAATAGGAAGAAAAAAATTAGATATAGAATGCGCAATGGTAACTGCAAAGAGGGATGTGTTCGGGGAATTGATCCTCCAAAACTGAAAAGAGTTGGTTAATTGCACATAACCCCCACGTCCATATGGTAACGTATTCACCTTCCATATTTGAAATTTGAATTTCTATCAAGTGGTCTAATTAAGGTAATTCAAATTTAAGAATCCCCAACAAATTGATTCCCAAAATTTTTATTTATGGCACAACAATCTTAAATTCTATTCAAGTACCCCTGCGAAACAATTAATTCAACAATCTTAAATTTGGTAATCAACAGACTAGGTTTAGTCTGTTGATGGACATGTTACAAAACAAACTGCACAAATAAATCATGCACAAATATAAAAATTTAGAGAAAATTGAATTAACCACAATACTTTTTGGACAAATTTCAAAGTCAGATCAACTTCATAATCAATTTAAAAATTCTCAAGATAATTTTGAAATTTTCTTTCAAATTTTTGCTTACACTTAATTCAATTAATTTCTCATATTGAAACGTGAGTGTGTGCTTGGACACTTTAGA